GACTTGGCGGGTGGTTTTGCGAGCGAAGCGGGGAGCGGAAAAACATCCATGAAGTACCAAGAGAGGGGGTCCGACCCAACGGCCGGCACGTGCACAGGAGGTGTTTTTCGGAAAAAGCCCATGGAACACCCGTCGCACGGTCGGGGTTCCGCTTCCGTCACGGTTGGGGGGTGCGGGGGACCTGTGTCGCGAAGAGCAGAGCGCCAACGAACACGGTAATTGGGAGGGTTGCCAACCCAGCTGCCAAGCTGACACTGAGGTTGGGCGAGGGCGCTTGTTGCACCAAGAAATGCGAAACCTGGCACATGTGGGCTGGGAATAACCTCACCTACTCGAATTGCCGGCTCATCGAGGGTAAGAAGTACCAAATGTATGGAAAGACGATGAGCACGAAGGACCTCATTTTCAATGGCTTTACACTGCCTGACAGCGATTATGTATGCCAGGAGGCTCGTGTGTTCTCTTTTCAAAAGCAGACTGTTTTTCAATGTTTTTCATATGTTTTCATTTGTTTTCCTGTTTTGTGGCCAAAACCACTGTGAATGAAGTGCTAAATGATGATGTTTACCGTGATTTTCTTCCATCTCGGCTTTCTGAACATGGACGAGTTTCGCAGGTCTGTGATATCGATGGATACAAAGGTTATCATGAAGAAGTTACGGTCTTTCGCAGTGGTGGTGACAAGACGTCCAGGCCTGTTTGTGCCTTCATCCGTATCTGAGATGGACATCTATTTTTCTATGGCGGGACACTGCGTTTAAAAAGAAAGCGTGTGCGGGTGCGTTGAAGGCGTTGTGGGCCTAAAACACGTTCACTGGTGCCAACCTTAGTTGAGGATAGGAATGAAATGGAATGAACAGCTGAGCAATCACTTTTGTTCAGTCTTTATATAAAGTAGTCTACGGCATGCTCTACATCAGTATTCGCTGTTGATCGAGATAGGGCCCTCCACATAAACGAGATACTTTTTTGATGACACTAAAGTAGTCGGAACGAGATACTGTCACATGACCTCCTACTTAAGTAGTCCAATCGATATAGGCCCCCCCACAGAACAGATACTGTACTTTATTTGACTCAGTTAGTAAGGAATAAGTACCACCGCTCAGCTATACCCATCGAGATATATCCAGCTAAGTGACTCCTTTGCCTCCAGGCTACTCTATGCCCGCAACTCATTTGAGTTGCTGGGTTTGCCCCGAATGTTTTACAACTGCGGTATGGGCAGAAACTAAAGACTCAAGTTGACTTAACATTGTGATGTTTTGTACAAGGCTACCAATCAGTCGACTAGTTCTCTTCAAACTTCAGTTTCCCACCTACAACCTCATTTCGGGGAAAAAACACAAATTCCAGCAGTGACCCCCCACCCCCATTCCCATTCCCGGAAAGGCGGGGCACCGAAAAGCACCACACCCAGGTGGCGCCGAGGGGATTAAGACGTCTCTGCACTTCGACCGGGGTGACTGGGCGAGGGTCTCTGCGGAGACCGACGCCCGGAGTTCCATCGAGGCTTGCCTTGCGGAATGGGGGGGGGCGGAATGGTCGGCGGCGTTCTCCAATGAACATGATCCACAAATCATGAATTGATCATGTATAACCATGCATGTCTATGGAGCTTAGTTACCTCAGCTGATGCATCTGATGGTGGCCTGGAAAGCAGTTAAGCTTGCGCAGTGCCGTCTCGCGCAGAGCAGTGGTTTCCCCTTTCGGGATGAGGGAGGAAAGAAGGTCAGTGGCAAAGCTGTAACGAAGAGGCATCACATCCTCTACAGGAGCTTCAGATGCTAGACTATGCGACAGACCAGACCCATACAGACCCTGTAAACCGCACGAGACCTGCACGGTGGGTCGGCCAGTGCACTTACTTCGGCCAAGCAGGATTCTTCGCAGGTTTCCTTGAGTAGATGACACCCTCCCTCCCAATGTTTCAAGCATATGCCTCTACGAACCCGTCTGTTGCAGAGATCTTTGGGTTTGGGTCATTTTGGGTCGGGGGACTCAAGAATGATTGTTTTGTTTTAATTTAGTTAATTTAGTTACTTTAAAACAAGGTTTCCAAGCGCAGGCCAGGGAGTGAGGGGGGGTTCATCAGATCTTTTTCACTTCACATTCTTGGCTGAAAATCTCAGGAGAAGGGTCCAGTCCTTCCTTTCGCTCATGTTCATCTAGCAGCACCCTCCAAACAGGTCTCCGAAATGGAGGGTTGTTAGGCTCTAACAGGTTTCAATTCGTGACCTGTGAAGTCGGGTCCTAGCAATCCATTCAAAATGCTGTATCCCCCCTCACAACTCTCAGTGCACATCTCGGTCACCTTTTGGGCCCTCCACATGTTCACCTCTACGGGGGAAGGAGCTGCGCTCTGTGCGAGCTCTGTTGGGTGATAGTCAATGCTAAGCAGTAGCACTGGGGCGTGTTCTTTTTGTTTGGTGTGCGAAACATCTTCTGCAGGATTGCTTCCTTCAACAGGACAACCCTCGCAACTCTCGAAACGTCCGTCCCGCCCAGGACAATCTCTTCCTGCAACTCTCGGGACGGAAACGTTTCCGGCTCTTTCGCCCCTGTGATCACGACCGTGCCACGGCCGGAAGCGGGAAGGCTTGTGGCGTTTAGTCACCTCTCGAGGTGGACCAAGAATCCCAAGCTAGATTGGTATTAGACCGCAAGTTCGCATCACAGAGAACACCTAGTTAGGGACCTCAGAGTTGGGGACCTAGTTGAGCAACAGGTTTCTTCACTGGAAAACTGTTAGGCATTAAAGAACCGCTTTGGACCATTGGATGCTATTTCTTCCTCTGAACTGCTGAAGAAACAGACACCAGCACCACCCAAAGGACGGTGTTCGGCCCCCAGCCGCTCCACCGGTCAACCCGCCACCCGGCCGCCCTCTGCCCGAGGCCTGTACGCGCGCGGCGCCGCGGATCCCTCCGCGCCGCACGTGTCGCGCGTGGACACGTGGGGGTCGAGCGAGGTCGCGTCCTTTCTGAAGGAGCCTGGGAGGGCCGGGTGGAAGGGGCCGGAAGGGGCGTGGGTGCAAACCGGAATGAGTTGCATGAGGCTGTGTTTTTGCGGCCAAAAACCAAAGGCGGAGATGGGTTGAAGATGGATTGAAGATGGATTGAAGAGGGCATCCGTTCGGTGAGTGGGTGTGTTCTACGACCTCCTTCCACCTCCTTCAGCGCGTGCGTCAGGAGTTCCCGCTCTTTGGTGCAGCCAAGGCGCGTAGCTTCGAGGCGCGTAGCGAAGCTGACCCCTCGAATGTTTGGGGCTCCCAGAGGTGGTAGGTTGGAAGTTCGGGAGGTGGTGGAGGTCGGATTTTGGACCGGGGGCGGTCGTGCTTCGGTTCTTAGAAGCACTTCAACCTGTAACTGCCCTTTCGCAATTCTTAGATAATGGTATCTCTTTCATTGTCTTTCTTTTCCGGCAAGTCTGCCATGGATTGTTCACTCCAATCCGCCTTAATTACGCGTTCGGCGAACCGGAGAAGCACCAGGTGGAGCTGGGCCCGGGCGACGCACTGCTGCTGCCGCGCTGGTGGTGGCACCAGAGCGAAGCCCTGAGCGACGGCCACGCGATCAATTGGTGGCCACCTGGAGCGACGGTCCGTGAGTCCATGGCTGACTCGCGGCCTGGGTTTGTGGTGCTTGGCTTAGGGATTCGAGTTTCGCAGATGTTGGAAGAGAGGTTCTAGATCATTAAAGATTAGTATCCCTACCAACGCCATTCGAGCCAAATTGATTCGACCCCAGCAATTGTTCCAGAACTTTGGAAGCAGGTGGGAGGCCTCGTGGGTCTTTTGTGGGGTGTGATGGAACTTGCCCAACCATCTCCCAGTTTCGAGGCCGCACGCGAGGAATCCTGACCTCCCAAACGCACGCGGACAGGGCACGTTCAAATGCACCAACCCTGCGAACGGGTCGGTCCAGAGGTACCTCAGGTCGACCGGGTCTGTATCACTGGGATTGACTGGAGGCGGTTGGCTCGGTCACGGAACGGAAAGGTATCAACTATACTAAACTATAGCTATACTATAAGTGGTCCTCTGAAAGCTTGATTCGAGGCATATGCTTGCTTCGAGTCCTTACTTGACTCTCCCTATCTGTTTGAAACGACAAGACCTTTCGGGGATTATCCCCTTGGAGGCGGCTGCCATTTGCCATGCCCGCCCCTTGTTCTAGCCAAGAGCAAATGAGCAGGGGATGGCTGTATGATGCAGTTTGGGAGGAGCAAATGAGAAACACATGGTGGATACTGGTGGGGAGTCCCCAAATTTGAAGGAGTGTGTTTCCGAGCTTTGTGCGCCTTTCTCAGGTTTGAGCCAAAGAGAGCGAAGGTGTCCAAGTGATGCCAGTGCCAAAGTTGCACCCGGCTCTCCTGGCAAGTCTGCAGCAAGCAGCAACCTTTAGCTTTGGGCCAAAGCTGCCTGAAGCAGGAGAGTTGTAGATGTTGTAGCGACTCATGCGTATCGATTCATATCGATTCGATTAGAACAGGATAAGAGCGAGAAGTCTTCGTCGCCCTCACCATCTCAAAAACTGAGAAGACTCTAAAGTGCGACAGCGCTCTCTCTCTCTCTCTCACGATCGGAGGGCCTCGAGTGCAACCTCATAGTAAGCTTGGACAAGCTCATGAAGTCATTGATGCAGAAGGACATACCTCCAACCTCGTAGGTTGTTTCATATCTTAGTTGACAACCCCTTGGATTCACCGACAAGCTGTATGAAGACTCGCTAGTCAAACACCTCCTTGCATGGCACCTTCAAAAATACTTTGCCAGCACTTACTATGTCACCTGTGGTTCTTCCATCCGCACCCCCTATCTCTACTACAAATTTTCAGTATATTATATATATATATATATATCAGGGGGACTTGAGAGAATGCAAGCTACATGTTCCATACGTTTTGATAGGGAGGAAGGGGGGTGTATGTATGGAACATGTTCTTCTCTGAACTCGCCCGACCTGCGCCACGGCGCCACGGGGACACTGGCGCGCCAGGTGGCCAAGGTCGCAGCAGAGCGGCAGAAGGAGGAGCAGCGCGCCAAGAATGAGGCGCAGCGATGGCCTGGCCCCGAGTTCGCACCATGAATTCCACGAACCAAACAGGTGATGAACTCCACGTAACCATGTGAATTTGAGGGAGAGTATTGGGGTCTAAAAACCTGAGTCCATGCTGGTCCACCATGTCGCTTGACCTTCCAGGTGCAAGCAAGCCATCCTGGTGGCTCAAGCCACTGCCAAATGAAAGGATCTGTGGTTATAGGAACCTATTGGGCATGGTCATGGAATAGCCCCGCCTTTGCCCTGACAGGCTTCCAGGAACCGGGGGCCGACAGACACCGATTCGGTCTTCTTCCTCATAATGGTGAATCGATCCTGTGGCCCCTAGATGGCCCTGGTTTTAACCCACAACTATCTAGGTCCTACCATCCTGTCAGGGTGTCCTGGTTGGACTACCCCACACTACCGGCCTAGGCTTCCAGACAGGGCACCCCTTGGACGGTCCAGGTAGGTCCTACCAGGTTCAATTCTTGAGGACTTGTTTGGAGCATCTGCGCATCGATCGTGGTCCCCTTTGGCCGATCGTGTGAAAACACCGTCTTCCTCCGGCCGGTCCATTCTCCCCGTCTTTCCTCCGCTTTCCCCCCCTTCTCATCGCGCCCACCGGAGAAGTCACACAAGTCACACTGCGGTGTCTGCGACAGGAGACGGAGGCCAAGGCGATTGGCAGTGAAGTGGAAGAGGCCGAGAATGAACTCCACCAGGTGAAGCAGGAGCGACGACGTGGGAAACGCGCTACGACGCGGACGCCTGGAGCGGCATCCGTTGAGTCCAAACAGGGATTCTTTCTGTTCTTTTCTAATTACCAAAACAGGAGTTGTGTTTTGTGTTCTAGGTGTTGATACCTCCGTGTTGGTGTGGGCTCTTTGGGCAGGCCAACAAGTGGTGACTGCTGAGGACTTCTTGCTTGGCATTTGTACATTCCCACAGTGACATGTTCAGCTTCAGCTATAGGCACCACCTGTTCGCCACGTCGTCGCAGCTGAACAAAACCTGCAGGAGATCACCAAGTTGAACGTCCAGATCTTCCAAGAGAAGCAGAAGGCCGTGCAACGGAGCCGCACACCGCCCAATCCCACGGAGCCGCGCCATGGGGATCCCGTTGCGTCGCGCGCTGGCGCCGGCGCCGGCGTCAGGCGAAGTCGATGGAGAAGGCGGTGCAGAATGAGCAGCTGAAGTATCGCCAGGCGGAGAAGACATGCCTCCGCCACAGCTGGGGCATGGTGGATCATGTATTATATAAAATATTATAAAATAATGTATTATAGTGGGGTGGGATGTATATTGCCGAGGCTGGTTTGTACTTATTTTATCCTTCATCGCAAGGAAGCTCACATTGGTGCTTTATTAATCCTTTGTTGAGGCGCGGACACTGTAAAGGGAAAGTTTGGGCTCGTGCATGGCTCTCAAGAGAGAAAAGAAGAGAAGAGAAAGGAGAAACGAGAAAAGAGAAAAGATAAGAGAAGGGAAGAGAAGAGAAGAGAGGAAGAGAATGAGATGTGGCAGGTTGCAGTGCCTGGGGTCAAGAATCATAGCACCCAATCTGTGTATCGCATGTCCTAAAGAAAAAGGGACGCAAAGAGAACCGCACAGGGAAAGCAAAAGGCAAGGAGGACAGTAGACAAACATCAATAATTTCAACATGGGCAATTAATTTCGACATCTTTTCTTGTACACTCCAAACGGCGGGCAATGCTTTGCGTTTTTTGTTCTCGCAAGGAACACAGAAGATTCCGCGAGATGGTTGTGTTGTCAACATTTTGTGTTTGGATGATCCCCGTGACTGGCCTTCAGTTCGAACGGCCCAGCAGTTTTGAAGCACCCGCGGGCAGGAACTGAAAGAGAAGGAACTGCGGGACCAGCAGGTAACTTGTGCTCGGGGCTGGGTGATGATTCATGAGTTTTCGACTACATAAAATACGAAAAAAACATGGAACTGCCAAAGATTGCTGCGGTGGTGGTTGGAGCAGTCTTCAGCCATGTTCCAATAAAGCACACTCTACTCCGGGAGGAAGACACAATTGCATGAAGCTCATGGAGAAACCCTTTGAGACTCTCAAAGTCGAAAACCCGGCCCCGAACCAGGGGCCCCTGTAATCTGCCACCGATGTTGGCGACTCGAACCTGAAACATGGGTGGCATTGGGTGCCCGAACAACGTTTTGTTGAGACATGTTGACATAGGATCCATGACAAACTCAACTTCTTGGAGCTCGCCGGCGGTTGGTTTGCCTAGTTTCCTACTATATACACGGGGACACGGGGATACATGGGATAGATGCGAGCTTTATTTGGTCAAGTGCAATCATGAGCTGATGTAGTCCAAGAGATGCTTTACATATGTTTAAATACTTTTCCCTCTTGAATTCTCAAGTGTTCAATGCTTCCAATCATCAGCCAGCTCCTAACCGTCCCAAACCCCCAAAGAGAGCAATTTCAGTTGAAATATCAAAGAAGCTATTCAAATGACCAGACCATTCTCTCTTGTGGGACTTGTGGGGGGTGAACTTACTCCTCTTTGAATCCATCGCCATGACCTGACCGGACCTGATCGCCGCACAGGTCCAAAACTTGACGGCCATGTTGACCGGCAAGGACCAGGCCGGATGTGACTGATCCGTCGGGGACGAAGGGGTTCAAACGGGTAAACCGGTCAACGTCCTACGCACTGTAACTGGGATTGGAATCAGTTTTGCCAGTGGATGTGTTTTTGGATGTTGGAGCTGGTAGGAGTTGCCTGAATCACCGACATGGAACCTGAGTTAGTCTTCGTGTACCACTGCTTTCTTGGGACGTCGCCATGTGAGTCGATGTGAATCGTTTTGCGCCACGTCGAGACGTTCCAGGCCATGAACAGCCTGGAGGGCCGCTACCGAAAGCTGCAGCGAAAGGCATTGGCGGCGAAGAAGCTCTTGGAGAAGGAAGAGAAGAAAGCCAAACTCCAGGAGCTTCTGTTCCAATCCGACCCGGCCACGCCATGGGATTTAGCGCATGTCTGTGCATGTTTCTCCGATTCCTTCTCTCTGCACGTTCTGTGAGAAGGTACAACGCCCCCCCATGTAAGAAAGTATTCTTTGCATGTCCGTTTTGCCGTCTTCGCATGGGCAGATGCCCCTGTACAACGATCATCGCCCCCCAATAGCCGGGTTCAGTGTGTTGAGTGCGGACCAAACACTCAAACCTTTGCCAGGTTTGCAAACACCAGGCAACGAGCACAAAACGACAAAAAAGACTGCTGCAGCAAGCCTAATACACCTTCCCGTAAAGGGCCCACACATGTGATCTCCATTCACTGTAAGAATGGAGGGAATGATGTTTTGTGAGGTCTGCGAATGGGCACGGTCTTCGAACGCATGGAATTGGAATGAATTGTGCTCATGTCTTGATGTCTGCCAGGTTCCGTGCACCGCATGCAGTGCACTGTATACTATACACATTCATGTTGCAGTTAGTCAAAGCATGCCAAAGCACAGTAAAATTAAACCGATAAGAAAGAACAACAACAGTAACATCAGGAGTATTGGATCAGGAACAATAGAGTGTTCTTTTCCTTTAACAAAACCTCATGTACTGGTCGTATCTCATGTGACATGTATTTGTCTGTGCAATTCTACAGAGACCCCCGGCCAGAGCGGCGGCACAGCAGTTTGCGGCTCACTTCAGCCCACGTCCGTGCCGTAGAGTTCAGCACAGGAGCTTTCCGCCCAGCAGCAGCTGGAAGCTGAGGAGAAGAAGGCTGAGAAGAAGGCCTTCCGATATCGACGTAACGGAAAGGACGGGGACACCTACTGCCAGTAGTAGCGAACCTGGTTCCGTTCGTAGTAAGAATGCTCCGTTCGTAGTGATGCCAGGAGCCCGCCCCTACTGTAGCCGTTTCGTTGTTCCTTAGTGTTGCTTGGACTCCAGCAGCCGAAGTCGCCTGGTTTCGCCCTGGGGCGCCTGGTCGCGCCTGGTCACACGCCTGACGTCATAGGACGTCATATGACGTCCCGCTGATGAAGGTTGTTTTCTCTTTCAGCATGGTTCAGCACGGCCCCCCCAACCTCCAAGATGTTCAATGGCCCCAACCTTTATTTATTTTTACCAGACCGATGAAGGTCAGTTCGAAGCGGGTTCAAATGGCACCCATGTTGCACAAAAGTTCGGTGCTTGTTTCTTGATGTTCTCTTGGTGTTGTTTCTTCTTCAGATCCTTTGGGTGTGTAGTCTTCCATTTTCTTGACTCGTGCCTGAGACTCAAGCTTGTTGAGTGTGCCTCCTTCCCATGTGGGTGAGCTGATCAGATGTGGTGGATGGACGAACGGGCCGTCCACATCCGGCCTAATCTTCTTTCATTTTCTTTTTGAGGCCACATTGCCTTCACCACCAGAATGGCCTAGAAAAGTGCATGTTTGATCCTTGTAGGGTTCAAAAGTGCTGCGGCACATATTATATTCTCGATACAAAGCAAAAATGATCTCTTGGCCCAAAACCTAAGGAACCGACACGCCCAGATATTACCATGTGGTTATCTTTGGAACCCCCCTCCACTGTCGGGCATGTTGGTCTCGTTCCCACCGAAAAGAAAGGCCTCGTTGGTCTCGTGATGTTCTCGCTGAAAGAGGCGACGGAGGAGTCCTTGCAGCTTCAAGAAGTGAAGAAGCAGCTGAAGGAGGAGGCCGCCGAGTAGCTGTTCGGGGTACGCCGCGGCGTTAGTAGGAACCTGGTGCCTGAGGATCTATTGAAGCTGGCTGAGCTGCGAAAGTGGCCCCCAGATTGGTCCACAAGATCCTACGTCGGAAGGGAGAAGGGACCCGGGACGGGTGTTTAAATTCTTTCTTTAATTACTAGACCTCGATCTCAGTACCTGCGCAGGCTCTACCCATCCCAATACGTTCCTAAGCTGAAGTCGGTTCAAGTTTATATAACCCGCTGACCAGGGCGAGAAAGCCCAGAAGGCCTTTGACGAGCAGGCAAGAGCTGGACCTGACCATTTGACAGGAAATGATGAAGTCAAATGACTATCTTGGAGCCAGGACAAATGATGAATTCATATGAATTCAATCATTTTACATGACTTTCGCCATGTTAGTGCTTCAAGATGTTTGCACTGGACACTCATGTGAAAAAAGAAATGCGACATCGGTTGGCAAAGACAAGGTTCCTTAAGACCACCTACATCCACTGCAGCTGGGATGGCTGTCCAGCCAAGGTTCCATAAGAACTGTACTAGAGTTGCAAGCTTAGGCAGGGCAGTTGTAGCTTATGCAGGCCGTTGTATGCATGTCAAAGAAAGGCTAAGAGAGCAAGCGAGATCAGTGCACCATGGACAAGGGTCTCTGCATGAAACCAACGACAGCCGTTTCGGACCATTTCGTGGCCAGCGACCGTGGTCGACCCGAAAAAATTGCAATTGAGACACTGAAAATCGGGCCCAGGGGTACAAGCAGAGCCAATAGATTTCTGCTTCGCAACGGGTGTCGTTTTCAGTTAACTTCTGCTTCGAAGAACACACCCCTTTCGGTGATTGAAACACTTCGGATGGTTCGGATTGGGGGGGACTTTAGTAAGTATAGGCACTACTTCGATCCAACACCGGTGGGGTCCACGGTGTACCTGCGAAGCATGGTGAAAAAGCGCTCGCCAATCCAGGTGAAGCTCATGCAGAAGAAGCATGCAAAGGAGGTGCCGAAAGCCTCATGGGAGGGCCAGCCGAAAGAAAAGTGGCATTGATGGTTTCCTCATAATATGTTGAAGATGTGTTTCTCAGCACGACATTCATTATATATTCGATGTATATATATATATATATGCACACACATAATAGTCATATTGAATCGTTCACGAGTATATAGGCTTGTAATGGTTTGCAACATCGAGATATCTCCTATCATGTATTCCCCTGGTTTCTCCTTGTTGGCCGTCATCATGTTCCAATCCCCTGTTGTCTCCCTCTCGAACTCCGATTCAACTCGAACTCGCCAGGTCAAAGAACAGGAAGAGAAGATCGGACATCAGGTGCCCAACCCGGCCGAATCGATTCCTCCACCCGTTTCTCCGGACGGCCTCGACCGACCTCGCGAAACCCGAGGTCAAGATCGAGAGGGGTCGAGTGATGGAGAAGGCGCGGTTGGAGTCCGTGGTTGGAGTCCACGGGTCTGGCTTCGAGTTTTCGGTAGACCAGCCGACATTGAGTGGGCTTTCCGACATGAAGGTCGTGGTGGTGGTTCTTGAAGTTTTGCGGTCGTTATTCTTGGTGAAGCTGTGTGGAACAGCTTTGCTGAATTTCATCGGGCTTGATTCTTTTCGAGCCTGTAGGCAAGATGGATTCACAAGGATTCAACGGGCAATCATTATTGTATCATTGTATTGTTTGTCAACGAGTTTTCCACGATTCTGTATGACAGTATGATCTTTGTTCTTAAATCCACCCAGAGATGCCAACGTTTCCTTGGCCCTTAGGCTTCTCATGGCTTCTCACTTGTGAGTTCAGGGCCCAGCCCATGCTCGCTGGCTGGCCGATGCGACCGCTTCCTCACATACCATGCGACCGATTCCGTGTCGAGCAATCGTCAGGTCGCGCAATTGGAGAAGGAGCTGAAGCACGAGAAGGACATCTCCAACGAAGAGGCTGGCTGAGTTGGCCAGGGAGAATCAATTCGTTTGGAGTTTGGAGTTGGGCGAGCCAGGCCAGTTGGAGAAAAGACACCTCAAGCCCGAAGAAGCCATTTGTCTCTGATCAAGTCCAGGGCCCCACTTTTACTGTCTGTGTTGGTGGGTGTTTCTGAGGTGAACCGCTCGGTGACCTGACGGTCGCGGGGCCGATGGTTGGGGTGGAGGCTGCGCTGGCGGCCCAGAAGGAGGAGGAGCTCCGGGAAGAGCTCCGACGCACCAAGGAGGCGCAGTGTGGCCGGGGAAGTATGTGAATATGGTGAATCTAGGAGAGTGGGGGATGGGGTAGAACCTAGCCAGACCACAAAAAGCAAGACATGCTTTTTTGGGGGGGCGAGAAACCATTTTGGAAAGGTTTACATGGTCGGCCCATGAAGTTGATCTGGAGCTTAGGATTTGATGGATTTGAATTTGATTTTGCATATGGAGTTATTTAATATTAGTTTAATTGTTGTCTATTTATGACTTATGATCCTAGAGTGCACTGGAATCCAGTTGACCTTTGTTTTGATAGGAAAAGGCAGTATTTTGGGTGGTGGTACAAATAGGTCACTCAGGTAGACCGGTAGAAGGCCTCGCGCCCCTCGGAACTTCCTTCCACTCGTCCGTGCACAACCCGGCTTGGACCCAGTGTTTTCACCCGTCGATTTGCGCTCGACTTGTCCAGGAGGAAGACCAAAAGGTGGAAGAATACCATGGAAAAGTGAGCGATTTAGAGGTCAGCCTGGAAAAGCAGAGACAGGCCTGGCGGCCTGGCGCTTTTCTTGGCGTCTTTTGGAGGATCGTGCGAACATTTATCTTTGACGATACGGTATCTCAGATCGAGGATGTCGCCACAAAAGTAGATTCTGCTCCCTTGCCGATAATCTGGGATCATCAACTTCCCATCCCCAAACCATCCGAGTCCATCGATGCTTGCAGTGGTTTCAGAGAAGATTGCACAAACCCCCACATGTCTTTAGATGGGGGTCCATATATTCCGCCTTGCCAACGAGTCTTGGCGAGCTGCGCATAGCGTTGTGCGATGCGGCAAGCAACTAAACAGGTGCACTGTCACTCAAAAGGACCGTGCCAAGTCACGTGCTGCCCTCAACGGCCGCCCGTGCAAAAAACGCCAAAGAAAAGAGGAAACTTTCTCGGCAACAGAAGCCGGCCAAGGAAACTTGACCGCAGGAAGTGACATGAGGATAGCAACTTCAGGGCGCGGTACCTTACCCCATCGGAGTTCCAGATTGCAGGCTTCAGCAGTTTCTTTCAACAAAACAGAAAAAACACGCACATTCGAGGCCATAGACCGACTACCGGATCCTCAGCGCCTTGGCAAGGCAGCAAGCTATGCTTGGCAAGACTCAGCAGGAATCTCTGATGTCTCTTCGCAAGAGATGCACTTGTTCGGTCGTGGTCTCTAGCTTTTTGCATAGCCACCCGGAAAGAACTAGTCCCTTCAGTTTGCACCGCAGTCTTGGCCATGCTGTCAGCAATAGCATTGCCGCGAATGAGCCATGCTTCATGTTCAGTAGTGGATTCAGTCAATGACCTGTGAGCTCTCACTTTGGTCAGCAACACCGGGCTGGACAGTCGTTCCCAGCTGCACTGAACTCGCCGCCAAAGCAGTTGGTTGGACCATTCCAGTGGCACAAAGCCTTGACGCATGATGTGCACAAAGCCATCATAAGCGTACTGGCTGTCAGTGTAAATGTGCACCTGACAGTGCACGGCCGCTGTCCAGTCCAGAACCATGAGTATCGCCCACACTTCTGCCCGATCACTCGTCGGGTGAGCAAGGGGTAGCAAACCTGAAGCGAGAGGCTCCTCAGAATTGGCTAAGTAACAACTCCAACCTGCCAAGGCACAATGCGGCTGCAGCGGCAAGTCACAGGAACCGTCAACAAAAACATGCTGAATACCTGAGTCTACGGGCCAGGCAGCCCAGTCATCGAAGGAGGCCGGAAGTCGATGCTGCGCTTCCCACCACTGAAGGAAGTGCGGGTTAGCAGAAACCAAACCATGGTGCGTAAGATGCTTGGGCAGTTCATGCCAGGCGGCTAGGACCTCAGGAAAGAGGCTGCGGATTTGGCTAAAGTGCGGACAGTGCAGGGCCCGATGCTCAAGGGAGTCCTCAGCACTGCAAAATAAGCACTGACCTGAGTGTGTGTGGTCAAACTTGGCCTTAGTGCTTTCCAAAAAAACCGGTTCCGTCCTGCACACAGTGCAGGAGGGCAGAGTCAACACGATCGAGAGCCGAACTCAGGCGATTGGTGTTGGTCCAGTCTATCCCGTGCAGAGACGGCATGGTGCTGCGATGTCGAACCTGTCTGGAAATCACAAAACCCCATGCATGCTGGAAAAAACTGCTCCAAAATACACCTATCCAACTCCAGAAAGGGAACCGTGAAGGTAGGACCGAGCTGCAGCTGCAAGTCCATGGAAAGAAACCACCCCAAGTCAGCCAAAAGCGTGGTCAGCTTGGCAAACGGGCCATAAGTGCGCTGCTGTGTAGGAGCAGCCATGTAAGCTCTCCACCATCGGCACAGTTGCATACTCTGCTGAAAGTGACGGTGACAATCAAACAAAGTGTGAAAAGCATCAAAGTACCAAGGATCCACATTCGAAGGACAGAGGACCGAGAGCCTCAGGGCAGGGCTGGCGCCCGAGCGATTGCATCCAAGTGCCTTCATGACTCCTGAGCGCAGCTTATCAAGCCAGTGCTTGCCAACGACTATCAATGCTGTGTCATGTAGAGCTCGAGGCAACAAAGCCATTCGCACAACTAACAACTTGTGCCAGAAGGACACTCGCAGTTTCCGAAGCTTGGACCAAAGTGGCTTGACCGCCAATATGCGCTGTTGCATGGCAGAGTTGCGATGCGAGGCAGTGTAGGTCATGGAGGTACCCAAGTCCATGCATGCATCTGCAACGTGAAAACCAAGTGCGCGCAGATGAGCTCTTGTATCTGCACTTGTGGCCCAAAACTTGGTCTTCTGTGAATCGAGACGTAGCCTAAGCAAGTCTGCCCAACACTCCATTGCCACGTGTCCTGGCAGAAGGTCTGTCAAAGAAGTGGCCGAGACTTCGAGGTTGTCAACGAAGCTGAAGGCTGTGACGCCAGGCTGAAAGTGAAGCATATAGTGATGATACGAAAAACTGGCAATGCACATGGCCAGGCAGGACATGGAGTCTCCCTCTGGAAAACCTGTGTCCGAATCCAAAAAAGTGCCAATCTCGCCTTGCACACGAAAGGCTCGGACCATCTGCCTCAAGAAACTGCTCCATGCCGTGAGGACATTCGAAGGAAAACCCATTCGCCGAGCCATCGAAAAGATCGGAGCCCTTGGCAAAAAGTTGAAGCACTTTTCTATGTCAGCAAGAACGCCACAAAGATCAACCCCAGTTCGCAGCGCATGTTCTACTGCAGCTTGGATGAAGAAGGTCATCTGCTGGCAGCTGCGTCCACGTAAGTAGCCATAGGCATGGAAGGCAGCATGCTTCTCAAGACTGCTAAGCAGAGCGCGTGATCGTAGGGATCCCCACAATCTGTACCACAAGGAGAACAGGGTGATCGGCCTAAACTGAGAGGCTGCTTTGGCATCTGGCACTTTCTCAAGGCACGTGACCAGCCCTTTGACAAGCTGGGCAGGCCAGGGCTCTCCAACTTCAATGCGCTCCAAGAGACAAATGACATCCTGAAACAGACAGTCAGGCAAGTGCTGAATGTCCGCCTTGGACCATCCATCCGGTCCCGTCGTTCGCAACCCTGTGCTGTCACGAAACAGCTGTAAGAAGTCAGACTTGCAAAGTCGAGGGACTGTCAATTCCAACTTGGGCAAGTGAGCTTGCGAGAAGGCAAGAATGCGACGCCAAGCATCAGCTGGCACCGTAGTTTCCGCCTGCCATCTCGGCTTCCACAATTTGTGCAGTTCCTTCTCAATGTCAGGAAAGGCAGTCAATGTGGTGCAGCTGGACAAAACTTGCCCGGGCACCGGAAGAATGCCAGAGTGCAGCCGCAAACATTCCGTGAATGATTCCTCTTCTTCAACAAGGATCGGCTGCAAAAAGGCCATATGTCCCTGATGTCTAATCTCAGTGGAGTGTGAAAAGTTGGGATTGTCCAAAGTATCAAAATTGTGCTTGACATCTACACAACTGATGGTAGCGGAGCGCTCAAGTTGCAGTGTGTCAAGAGCCCCCCTTTTGCTCTGGTCGAAGAGCTTTAAACAACTGTTTCATCTCCGTCTCTTTGCGAAGCTGCGTAAGCTTTGCTTTATGACGGATCGTCCAGCGCTCAAAACTCACAAAATTAGCATGAAAATCCTGAAAGATGAGTGACACTGTGGAAGGATCCGGACAAAAGAAAGGCAGGTAGCTCGGAGCTCCCTGCAGCTGAATCAGCCTAGAAGGCCACCAGTCCATAAAAGAAGGCTTGAACCCTGAGCTAGTGAGTATTGCTTGCCAACACTGAGCCCTAAAGGCAATGGCACCAGGGGTCTCGCTTCCAGCTGTAGTATTGAACCGGAGGGCCTGCAGCCTACGTAGTTGTTTAAACCATTTGTGAAGAACCTGCGGTCCCAATGCAGAATCACGCTTCACTTCCCCTGGCCGACTGGGCTTGCAAACAGCTTGAAAATGAACCATCTTCTTCAAACAATTCTTTTGTCCTCTACCCTGACAGCCGAATGGCAGCCGTCCATTGTCAGCAGCTACAAACCCCTTGCAACGAACGCTCAAAACCATGGCTCCAGTTAGCAAAACCCTTAGTGGTGTCCTCAGTCCAACAGAAAGCTGCATGAGTACTGGTCAAAGAAGCCTCCCATGACTGCTTGCGAATTTGATCCCATGGCAATGAGCCTGGGAAGTGCCATCGAAAGGCTTGCCTAAGCGGGAGCTGACAGCGAAATCGCGCAAAAAGCACTGAGTGATCCGGAAAAACAAAGTCCCATTGCTCCATTTCCAGAAAAAGCTCTGCCAGCTCTGGGCTCACCCAAATGTAGTCCCGAATAGTCGCCCCTTTGCAGGTTGGCTGAGGAGTGCGGCCAGTGATAGCCTGCTGCAGCAGTTGTATTTCCTTCCAACCTTTGGATCGCCAGTATGCGAAGTGCGGCAAATCGGTTTCCGCGATGTTGAAATCGCCTTGGATGTATCTGAGACCTCTTGAGTGGTCCACAAGCTCTTGTGTGGCAACATCCAGCAGATCTGCAGTGATTTTGAGCGGGTCCTTGTAGGTCGGACCCTGCGCAGCTCCATAGACCACCGCCCCCCAACAAATGGCAGGTGGGCAAAAAAGTAGCAGTCATGTGAATGCGACCAGAAACAAAGGTCGCCCCAGGCCAAGGAACGTGAACGGGCCGAAGAGCAAAGTCTGAGATTGTGGCAACTCCTGTGAAAGTGCCAGAGTCCGAGTCAGGAACTCTCGGAGGTGCTGGTGCCCCCGCCACTGCGCGAATCTGTCTCCCCTCAGATCTGCCTCGCGCTTGAAGCGAAGTGGCAAAAAGTTTGAAACCCGAGTCTGTGAGATGCGTTTCCGTGAAGCCCCAACAACCTTGCGGAAGGTCAAAGAAGCAGTCCTGTCGATGCGCAGCGCCAGCCATGTTGGCCGTTCCTAGCACAAAACAAGAGTCATCCATTGGCCCCGGAAGCGCCGCCTCCCCAATGCGGAGCAGGAAGCCAAAGAAAGCAAAGACATACCAAGCAAAGATGCCGGCTCTAGGAAAGCTATGGTAGCACGCTTTCCCTTGCCGCGCTAGTCACGAAGTTCTGCTGCGCTTTTCCAAGAGCGCTTCCAGGCGATTGGTCTGCGAGTCCATGGCTGCGGTAAGCTGATCAGCAAGCGAGGCCTTGAGCGAAGTGACCTCCTTCGTCACAGCATCCGTGGCAGTGGCCTGAGTCTGAATGGCTTCTCCTAGCTGACGAATTTGCCCATCATGAGCACGAACTTGCAGCGTGAAGCTATCACCCAGCTGTTGGATTTGCTTAGCTTGCTCCGCAGCATGCTGATGCAGCTGCTGAACTTTTGCTGCCGAATCCTGAATCATACCTGCCATCTTGGTTTGCTGAGCCTTGAGCTCGTCCACATCAGTCCTCAAAGCAGTTGTGTCAGGAGAAAGGCCACTGGAGGCCGAAGTCCCCTTTTGAGCAAGATCCTGAATCTGCTGCTTCATCTCCTGCTTGAGCCTGGCCTCCAAGTCACCCAGTCGTTGGCTGGGGGCAGAGGCAGATCCCCTGTTGTGGGTGAAAACGATCTCATCTTTGGCACTGACGAAGCTTGCGCTGCCTTGTAGCTAGCCCACGGATCCTCAGTTGTCATCCAAATGTCCTCTGAGCCCAAGGCCTTAGCTTTGCCAGCCGTGTTTGCCTTCAGATGCGCAGAAGTACGCATCGGAGCCGACACTATGGGGGGCTGTCTTGGCAGACTTCTCAGCATCTCTCTTCTTTGCCACCGTGAGGTCACCATGCTCCGTCTCCAAAACTGGAGCCGGAGGTGCAGTGGAGGTGCCTATATCCCAGAACTTACCATCAGCCGTAGATCGAAACACCTTGAGCGGCCGAGCCACCCATCCCCAGTCCTTCAGGATCTGATTGAGTTGGTCACGGCTGAGCCCATGCGGCACAGGTCCCATCTCGTAGATGAAGCGAACCTGACATGCTGTGAAAGCCCGATCTGGATATACGACCTTAAGCAAAGCAGACTCATGCTTGCAGAGTGCTCGTAGCCCGAGCTTGTTGCCCAGGCGTGCAAGACCCAGTACAAACTCCTGTGTGCGCTTGTAATGCAAGGCATCTGAGGGAGTGGCCGAACGATTGAGCCATACAACACAAAAAGAAGGATGGCTACCACTCGTCGAATCCGGCCGAGGCTCGATGAAAATGCCAAAGTCACCTGAGTGCGTGAGAATCTGTGTGAGCGCCGAAGCCGGCACTCGCATGTACACCGAAAAAATCTGCGCTAGATGGCTGGAGGTCTTTTTGCCATCTGCACTGAGCCACTTCCAGGCCCATGCATCCAGGACCACGTGCTGAACTTTTTCATCCACCGCTGGATGAAACAAGCCGCACTTGCCATCACATGAGGGCTCCCGACAAAAGCGCAAAGCAGACACTTGTGAAATGATCTGCTTAACAGGGCCTCTCAAAAATTCGGGCCAAGTGTCCGCCATGTCTGCAAAAACCTGAATGCGTAAGACCTCAGTATCGATCTTGGGCATGGTTTGTGCCTTAGCAGGTGCCTTTTTCTCAATGCTGACATCACCTAAGTTGATCAGGGAACCACGAATGATAACTGGCTCTTGCGTGGGATGGTACAAAGCCGTCCAATGCAAGTGTTCCACTCGGGAATCTGAGTCCGAATTGGCAAGTTCTCCTATGGTCAACAAGCCAAAGGCATCAGTGCTGATGTTTCTACTATCCTTGAGAAAGGTAACGGCCTGTTCTTCAGTGGCAATGGCAAGTCCCCTCTGATCAGGGCGAAGATTCTGCATGGTGATCATGCCTAAAGGCTCGTCCATGGCATCAAAAAAAGCAGTTGGGCAAAAGCTCAAGGTTTTCGGGGGTGATGTTGAGAGGCAATTCCACCCGCTTACCACGATTGCCCAGTTTGTCAGGCTTGTTGGAGGCTCCATGGCGAGTCTCACTCCTTTGTGCGATGTGCTGCTGCAATTCTGTGTATTGAACCCATTGGAAAGGCTTGCTGAGGGCACCACCAGCTTGCTTCAAACCCCTCCATGGATCAGCCGATGAAATGGCCGCATCTAAGGCTTCAACACCCAGTTTCTTGATGGCAGCCTGCGCCCTAGCTTTGGCTGCTTCAACAGGCACACCCTTGGTTGGCAAAAAGGTTTCCAGCCAAGTCTGAATGGCCTCAGTTTTCGACGGAGCACCTGCTCCCCTGAGCTGCCTTTCCAACAAAACCTCATTCCAAAGCTGCGCCGTGGGTTCATCACATGAGTCCCAGAGACCCAAGCAAAAACCAACATGCAACAAGGCGATTGCACCACAATGGGTGCCCCCAGTTTTTCACTATGCGGTCTGAGCGAATGCACATGTCCTGACAGTTGAAGGCATACTGAAATCGCTGAAACAGAATGGCCATGTCAGCGGTCGCTTCCATGGTGACTCCATCAAAGGAAGTGGCTTCCAGTTGGGAACCATGCTTTTCAACCCTGAATGCAATCCAGTGACCACAATCCCACAAAACCCCAATGGCAGTAGTCTTGCCATTGAGAACTCTGAGAATCTCTTGCTGAGCAAAGTGCGACCAAACCTCTAAGAGATGAGCTACAAAGCGTGGCGTGAAGAAAACAAAATCATCCCGACCAGCTTTTGCAAAGAGTCTCATGGCCTGATGGTGAATAGTGTAGTCATCAAGACCATCTCTAGGCACTATGACAGCAGGATCGTCCATTGCCAAAGAGAAAGGTCGTTTGCCTTGCCCAATCATGCGCACCGCAATGCTCAGTGGCCCTGGTGGCACATATCCCTGCGGATGCAGCCAAGCAGCATCATTGGGTCGGAGCTCGAGGACTGCACCAATGTGATGTCCAGTTGCTTCAAGCAGGGCTCTGACAGAAACTGACTCATGAACAGTCACGTGAAGAACCGGATCACGCTCAAAAACAATGGAAATCTGTCTCGGAATCTGGTTCGCTCTGGTTGGCCAACGCCGCAAATGCTCTTGGACATGGTGATTCATCACTCTCTCATGTGCATCAAACAAAGTCCGGTCACCCAACATGCCGTTGGCATCTAACACTTGCGCCAGAATCCAATGAGCCTGGATTGGTGATGCAATTTGGCCTAAAAGCGGCAGCAAGGCTTTCCGTTCCCCCAAAGCAACTAACCCAAAAGGGACCCCAACTAGAAAGGCAGCCTCATTGTGGTGCACATGCCTAAGCGCAATGTCCGAGTAGTTCGAGTTCACGACTATGGCCTGCCACCCACGAGCCCGCAATGTCACATCACTGATGGGCCCCCCTGCAGCCACAAGGGCAATCAACCAAGTGATGGCCTGCTGAGTGAAGCAACGTTGGGGCCACCCCATTCATGTCCAAGAGTCTGGGCAGAACACCGTATGCTGGATCCTGATACATGTCAAGTTCACTCTGAGTCAATTTCAGCTCTCGCTCTTCTTCCTTGGGCCAGGTTGGCCATTGACGCACGAGCTGACCTAGAGTCTGTCGATGCAAGGCCAATGGCAAGTCACTCAGTTTCGGCAAGTTCAGACTTGTTGGCAAGGCTACAAGCCACCATCTAGTGCGTCGGGATGGAAGTGCCCTGTCTAAGTGCAAAACTTTAGCAGTCCAGTGAAAAGACATGACTTCACAAAAACGATCAAGTGCTTGGGTGATAGGCCTCAGACCCTGAACACCAGGAACACACTCCAAAATCAGGTAGGAACTCTGCACTAAGTACGCTGCATCCAGTACCCGAAAGAACACGCTGGCCCTGGGGTCTGAGAAGTGAAGCTGCGCCCCCATGGAACTGAAAGGCTGGCAGGGAAAACCTGCACACAAGCCCGAACGAACTCCTCCCATCGCTTGATGAAATCGGCCGACATCAGCCTTAGATGCCAAGTCTCCTTGCAGCACCTTAGGATAGTGGTTGGCACTCAAGTGAGCACAGGTGAATGGCGAAATCTCCAGAGCAACGTGAGGCTGAATACCTGTCATGAACCCTCCCTGAGTGATACCACCTAATCCGGCACAGACCTCAGAGAGCCTAAAAAGATCATCCGAAAGGCATGGCGGTTCGATGACCTGAGTCGAAAGATCGGTCGCCAGGAGCGAAAACACCCCCTCAGAAGAAAGAGAACCAAGCTGCCAGGAATGAAGGGCCATGCAAATGCCACATGCAGCACCCAATCCAATAGGGTCAAAACACTGACCAGTCAGCGGGTTCACCCAATCATCTTTGCGCTTGTGAAGCCTCAGCGAAACTTCCTTCCCGATGTGCTCCACCGTCAAAGGCGCCCAAATGACCGGATCTAACTCCATGGCTTACGAAACGTCTCAAATCCGCCGTCACCGCTTGCCTCTGGTAGGCTTGAGACCAAAGCTGATGGGGGTCCATATAAACCACCATCTACTCTGAAACCACTGTAGAAGGCTTACTCTAGAAATCTGCAGATGCAAGCAACATCAAGTAACTAACTAACCAAGACTCTGCAACAGTCTCCATGTTCTATTTTCTCCGGGAAATCAGACCTTGTAGCCAACTCTCGGCGCTCCGGCCGAGAGTTGGCTGGACACGTCCGGTCTCCGCGCGGAGACCGACTGGCTCGTCAGGCCTCCTCGCAAAAGGTGAAGGTGGCCAAGGCCAAGCTGCAGAAGCTGCAGAGCGAGGTGATCAGTGAAGAGGAGGCGCGGGACACAGTGGGGCCAAGCACAGGTTTCTTTTCTCCTCCCTGGGTGAACAGCGTTTGTGTGGAGGAAACCAGTGAACGATAGTGAACTTGTTCATGAGGACTGCGGAGCTTGACGAGAAAGGGAACTTTTAAGGGTCTTTTGGGTTTGGTCAGCCAGTTAGTTCTTTCACGATCTTGATCTGCCAGCTCCTGGATGAAGTGGAGGTGGTGTTGGTGTCCCATCCTTCGGGATTTCGGGTCTTGGGCTGGTGACTTTGGAACAGAACCGTCCTCCACCCGAGGCGCTGACCAGCAAGAAGGCAGAACTGTCACGAGTTGAGAAGGAGGCCGCCTTTGGTGAAAGGGGCGCCCGGGAGATGACTTGATTTGCTGAACGAGGGGCAAACACGAGAGAAACGGCCTTTTCCTCTAGAGAAGTCACGGGTTCGATCTGGTGAGCATGTTGAGTTTGTTTTGGGTGCATTTGGGTGCTCCACCACGATCTTGCCGCAGCCGTGAGCATGTGCTTCTCTCTCAAGGTTCAGACCTGGATCGTTTCGTCCTTTGTTTTGACATGGCCATGCAGAGGCCAAGGTCAAACCATGTCACTAGTCTTTCAAGACCCACGGAACCGCTGAAACTCCATCCTCCACTTGGGATCTTCACCGGTCGTTGGCAGTTGACCCCGGTCTCAGGGTCACCGAGTTCCCCGAGTTGTCGTCCAAGGCCCAGGCCATGGAAGCCAAAGCCAAGTCGGCGGAGGCCTCGCAGTCGGCGGAGGCCGAGCCCGTGCGGTGGAACCCGTGGAGACCGGACGGGCGCGCCACCGTCGCGCGGTGAAACAGCGCCCGGTGCCTCCACTCCAGATTCGAGTCTACCAGACTCCGGACTCTTTTTGGAGACGTTGTTTTGTTGGAGCGTCGTTCAGAGGTCTCAATTAGGACCTGTTGGAGGGAGCTGGTAGAGAGAGAGAGAGAGAGATGGACAGATGATAGATGGATCTTCCAAGAACTTAGATGGAACTTGGCTCGTGAGGTGAACATATGGCTGTTCGGTGAGTCTTTGAAAGTCGTCGCCAGCCCAGGCCCCCAAAAGCGAGGCCCCAGCCCGATTGCGGTTTCAGGAGAAGCACCTCCAAGCTAAGCTGAAAGCAGCAGCCACCATGGAAAGAAGAGGCCGCAAGCAGGTCAATTGAGGGCAAAGGTCTTCTCATCACGTCCAAGTTGCATCCAACCGCCGAATTGAACCTATAACATCCTATAACCCGAGAGGAACCTAACCCGTTCAAATTGTATCCACCTAACCCAGAATGCAAGGTTCAGTCGGTTCAAGTGCATGGAATTTCCGTTGTGACTCATGAACGACCCCGACTGGGAGTCATCCGCTAGAGGGGTGAGACTTGAGTCATGACGCGCAAGCGCTTCCGCACAGCACATCTTGGCCCACACAGTATGCTGGCCAACGTGACGTCGGCGGGTCAAAGGCACGACGACGTCATGGCCGTTTTGGGGGGGCCATGCACACAGAAAAGCAACCATTCTGAGCCCTCTCTTCTGCCGTGTTAAAGATAGAGACGCAGCCAACAGGCCGTGTCCACCTCTGAGGCCGTTTGCTATTGGATTAGACCATGGTTTCTCAAGGATTCTTGTAGGATGTGCTTCTGGAGGTTGAAGGTCTGAGCAGGGCAACTGACCTGGACCGGCGTGAACCAGTCCAACGGTTTGTGACTGCAAGTTGCATGCGGAATGAGGAATGAATCCAGTGGGAATGTCGATTGGTGAGCAGCCCCTCATTGAGTTACTTGCTGCACCAGTCTGTCAGACAGGAACCTCTTGCTTTCCCAGCTCAGTGACCATCAGCACCGGCTCGGCTGGTCAGGGATGACAGCCCTGCAACGACAGGCAGAGCATCAGGTGGGACATGGGGGGGGGCAATGAGCTTAGACAGTAGGCATGCTTAGGCCAAAAAGGCCGGACCTAGTGCCTGGTAGACTCAAGATACTCAAGTGATGTCAAGTGTACTGTCGATTTGTTCATGGTGATGTAACAGTTTTCTTAACACGGCCCGAAACCTACAGGAAACTCTGTGGCTGAAAAAGGTTGTTTAGGAGAACTTGAAGCGCTCAGCCGATTTTAGGAGAACCTGACCCGCTCAGCCATTCATGGACCATCGGTGAACACTACACTTCACACACTTCAGTGGTTGTTTCCCTGTTGTAGCTGGTGTCCTTCGGCATCCTTTAACTGTTTTGCACCTTGTTTTTTTTAATACCCGAGACAGTCCCTGGAGACCCCGAGCAGTATCTTCTGGACTCTGGACGCGCTTGAGTCATCTTCCGGTATCTTCTAGTGACCGGTCATCGGAAGAAGAGGCTGCACAGCTGCGGAAGATGATCGCAGACGAGAAGCAGATGGAGCAGGAGCAGGTGCGAGGAGACATAATCGCCGATGTTCGCGGATGTTCGCGGTGAAAAACGCGAGGGAGCAGACGTCACGTCCTTCTTTTTTTCAATAGGATTCCTGGACCACCCTTCGTTTTCATGTCCCATGGATTTTGCATGGTTTTGCCGAACCGCCGATGGCACCATGGCTTTTACCAACACCACCACCCGGTCCGTTCTACGACCTTTCGAAACCGGAGACGAGACTCATCGCGGTTGAGACGCCTGCGCCTATAGTCATTGCCGAGTCATTGCCCCCCGCCGGGCTGCATGTATATAGTCTTCTTGTCAGCCACAACACGTGGTTGAGACGAAAGAAAAGACCTCAAAACGGTCTGAACATAGCCTTCTGCTTTATTCATTTAGAGCTCTTCTCTGTCCTTTCCAGAGTGGCTTAGACGGGTTTCTAGTCAAGAAGAAAAAAGATACTGTAACTGGATGATTTGTCACGAAAGGTAGCTTGAGCTACCTGAGTTCTCCTTGCTTTAGCAAAAATGTATTACAATCAGGAGTTGGGATTGTGCATTGAATTTGGTCCTGTAAGAGTTGATTCTGTTCGTCGGGGGGGGGGGCCCCCCCCCCCTGGATCAAATCCCCCTGCGCCGGTTCACGCCGTCGTGGACTTCTACCAGGGTTACTTGTGATTGCCTGCTACCTTTCGTTCACCCCCTCCTCTCTCAAGTTTGAGAAGAAAAATATGCGACCTAGACCACTGGGCGTAGACTAATCAAGAAGTGAATCTGTCCGTAGATTAAACCCAAGCGATGGGTTGGGAGCTGACGGGTAGCTGGCGCCACTTCTAACCCTTGAAATTCGGCCGGATGAAACTGAACCAGAAAGACCGGATGCTGAAGCGTCAAATCACTGCAGGGCCTTCATGTGGGGAGGGCAGGCTTGTGTACACATGCCGGTTGCATCCAGTGGCCAATAGTCCAGTGGCCAATAGTCGGTCCTCATGTCAACGCCCATGAGGAGAGCTTCCAACCGGAAAGAGACCAAGCCGCCAGCGCGGTTCTGGTGACCCTTGCGAATGGATTGGTGCCACGCCACAGGCCCAAAGGCCCCGCCCATTTCGGACGACCCGTTCCACACGAATGGGACCCATCCGGCATGGCTCGTGGCGACGCACCGCACCGACGCCCACGTGGCTCCTGCGGAGCGAGTGGCCCAGGTGGCGGCGCTGGAGCACGAGATCCGTGAGGCAAAGGTGGCCCCGGTGGGGACGACCCGAGCACGGCTTCGGGGGTGGACCATCGAAGAGACTGGCTGTCGGTGACAGGGCTGATCGGTGACAGGTGCAACTCTCCGTGGTGACGAAGGGACGCCGTTGTTGGGCTGTCAGTGGACGATTGTGAGGGCAGAAGACCATGCATGTCAAAATCCTTGAAGGATGCATCATTATATATACCTAGAACCTGAATGACCTCTATTTTGGACCACCAACCACCCAACATATGGCCTTTTCCTATCAAAACAGGGGTCAATTGGGTTCCAGGTATAGATAGGGGAAGGACTTAGGTACTGGTCACACAAGGCCAGGTTGGACTCCTCGCAGTGTTGTGGCCTCCTGACGTCAGGTTTCAAATGAGTTCCACCAAGACACCGTGAAACCACCGGATGTCGTTCACCTGGTCATGTTCACCTGGTCATGTTTTCCAATGAGTTGCACCGAATTCACCTCGTGCAAACAGGTGAAACACCATGAAACCACCGGTCCGCACGCATGTCATTGAACTGTCCTTCGTGATCCTCCACCAAGCAGTTCCTGTAAGGCAGCCTGTAATCAAGTCCCAAGTGATCCTACCGCAGTACATCCTTTCCAAGTATGAAGTATAATATAATAGTCGTAACATGAATGAACCATGAATCTAGGTAGAATACGTTAGATTCTGGCTTGTGAAACCAACATGGTGGCCTACAAACTCTTCACATTTCTAGGAACATGGATCCATGCAAAGTTGCAAGACAACGGAAAACATGAACAAAATTACATCTTTCAGTGGTTTTTGCATCAAGGTCCTTGTTCAACATTATTTCAATCAGCATATGTCTCACATGTCCATGAGCATATGTCTCACATGTCCATGCCCATCCCGGACTGCCGCTTAGCAGTGACTGCCGCTGAGCAGCGTGTTAACACGCGAGGCCTCTCCAAAAGTGTCTCAAGTGGTTGCGACCTGAGGATGTCGGTCGCTTTGGAATCGATTCCCGGACGTATTTTCCTGGTTGTGACGGTTCGAACCGACCAATTCAATACCAAGATGTGACTGTAAATAGCACCCTACAGGGCGCCCGGGTACCTATGGGATAGTCTATAGATGTCTATATTGGATTCTTCAACCTCTGGAGATGCAAGAACTTCCAGGCGGTTTTTCCCCACCATACCGTATACCCAATGTTGGTTCTTTGGTTCTCGGGGTCAGGTGGGTCCCACTTATAGATCCGAGCTGTAGGGGCCATCAACGTCCTCACTGGGGTCCGCCACACCCTTCAGGGTCCGGGACGGGACTGGGCGCAGGGTCCGGGGCACTGGCAGGTCGTTCGGGAGCTGGTTGGGCTCCGGGGTGGACTGGGTTCGACTCTTGAGGGGCATCAAGCAGCCCAGGCCCCCAGGCCTGAAGAGGTTGCTCAATTCAACATGGGGTTTTGATGAATCAAGAGTCGACTAAGCCTGTACCTGATGAGACTAAGAGACAACGAAGTCCTGTGCCGTCGGCGATAGGGTGAGTTGTTACTCCCAGAAGCAGGAGAAGCAACAGTGAGGGCTTGGATGATGTTGGATGGAATATGAAGCACCAGTCGATCCAGTAGTCCTCATGTACAGATGGTAGTTGCAAGTCTTGTGTGGCTTGATGACCTCCCTTCATCGATCCTCTTTGACCTCAGCAGTAGCGAGGTCAAAGTTCACGCCAAGTTCCTCCGCGCCTGACTGAGTCAAGTGTTTCGCTTGACCTTCCTTAGCGCGGGAAGCACCATGCAGTGCCATGGGCGGGCGTTGCCTGCGGCAACGCCATGCGCAGGGCAGCAGTGCGGGCGCAAAAAGGGGGTCGCGGAGCTTGGGATGGAGATGAATGGTTTGAACTCACGACTGCTTAATGGATATGATAAATCTCCCTCTCTCTCTCTCTCTATAGTACACCTATATACTAACAAATTCAATTTCATCTAATCATGGATGGACTCACAATTGCTGGTGGATGGGGATGAGATTGATTAAGATGAACTGGATGGCCGAAATCGCCTCATTCGACGGCCGGAGCGGAGCTTCAACCCATGACAAATGGTCGGCCGTAGCTGTGCTAGAGCTAGAAATGTCTGACACAAATGGTGGCATGTGTATATGTATATGTAGATGGGTCATGTGTGAAGCTAGAGCTCACAAACCACCTTTTGCCGTGCACGAACAACAAGTGTTGGTATTATTTTTGTAAGTGACTGTATAAGCCCTCGTTTTTTGAGGGGGCTCCCCTTGGCGCTGGATGCCAGTCCAGCATGTGTTGTTTTTTCATCTCCATCGGCCGGAAACACGACATTGACGACCGACGAACGAAGAAGAGAGACCCGCCTGAAGGATGTGCCAGCGGCGATCCATTTGTTTTGGTTGACTTACAGTGCAGTGCTTGCAAACTCTGCTTGGCTTCTGGGGCACATGGCTCTTCAGAACAATGACTAGCACCTTGCCATCCACGCCTGTATGATTCGTTGGAGTTTTGGATTACCTTAATCCCATTGACCTTGAGCCTTACCAGTGCGGTCTTGACCTCCAGCCTCCTGACCTCCAGGTCCCTCCAGTCTCCTGACCTCCAGGTCCCTTCCAGGTCCCGACTGACAGCGAAGGGTTTTGCCAGCACTTGGCTTGGCTGTCGCACCGCGACCTGGTATGACCTGTTCCAAAAAAAGATCGACACAAGAACGGGCGAATCTTACCATGTTTATTCTTTGTTTGAATAGAATATACCATCATCAAAATAGACCACAATAGACCAACATACCACTATACATAGTCAGTCAGATGTTAAATCTATATTATCTGTTTAAAGAAACTATTCAATTTATAGTCCAAATTAAATTCAGATCTCTTGACACTTCAAGGATTGTTCCTTGAGGGCTGTTCACGTTTTGCATGACTGCCAGCAGCTTTTTGTGCCGAGCTTTCTCTTTAGAGCTTCCCAATCGGGTTTCAACCAAAGAATGAAAACACTAAGAGAAACCACCATTGCGACTTCACAATTGCTGGCCGAAAAACAGGACATCAATCGGGAAATACATGGAACAATGGAACAAATCCAGATGCCGACACACAAACCAGCTTGAACAAATCCAGCTGAAAAACAGCCTTCACAAATCCAGATGACTACTATATGCATGGCTGTTATTTCTTTGGAAAAGCAAAGCAGCGGCGTCTTCGGACCTTCCCCCAGTCGCCGGAACGCCGGAACGCTGCGCTGTTCCCGGTGACCAGGTGGTTGGGGTGTGGTTTTGCCGGTTTGGGGTGGATGTTTCGAACCCCCAAGTGGACCAGTTCTGTTTGGATCAGAATGGATCTACTACTCAGTTTGGATGTATACCTAACCCAGTGAGAGTATGGATGTATACCAAACCTTCAGAATGGATCTATACCTAACCCAGTTTGGACCTGTTTTGATAGCCATACGTACTGGGATAGGTGTTCTGGAGACCGACTCCTCGTCGGGTCGGATGGTCCTGGCAGGTCCGCCCGACGACCCGGACGACCCCGTTTGGACGATCGAAAGCCATGGATCCCTGTTTGAGAGGGTTTTGGCTGTGACCGTTTCCATAGGAACACCGAGCTACCCTGGAAAAACCGAACTGGCATTTTTTCGAACTAGAGTTCTGAAAACCTCTGTTGGTCATGTCCTTTTATGTTGGCAGACACGAAAAGGAAACTAGGACAGGTGGTATATGTAGATATGGTGTGTGTGTGTGTAGAGGAACCCACTGCTCATGTGTTTTTCCATGGCTCGGGGAGCATGGTGTGACCCAGATGAAAGAATCGCTTCACCGCTTCACAGCACGAGGACCGGTGCCGGTGCTCGGTCGATGGCGGAGGGCGATGAGATGGAGTGGCGGCTTGGCTCACGCCACTCGCTGCGCCGTCCACGCCGGCCCGTGAGTGTCACAGCGACGGGATCGGGAAGTTGACACCCGGACACGACCGATGGGACTGGCATATGTAGCATACATGATAATTATCACTTTTTAACCACCCCAATGTATATGTCAATATTCCAGTCCCAGACTGGTCGTGTCTGGGAAAGAACGACACCGAAGATCACCCAAGTCTTTCTTCGATCAGATCGTACCGAGTTGCCAGGAGCGATTTGACGGGTTTGCAGATGGGGTGGCGTTGAAGATCGGACGTTTTGAACATCAAGGATCCTAACCAAGAGACGTTAAGTGACCTTATAGGACCTTACTGGGGTACCTATGGGATAGTCTATAGGGTTCTTCAACCTCTGGTGGAAATTTGGAGGCGTTTGTTTCTCTTTTGGGTCTTGGATTCAACAACTTTTTGATGTCCATCAGTCTTTTTTGGACTGAACTAGGACTCTTGGCGTCTATGTTTGGCATTTTGACATCGATTTAGATGCTAAATGCTAAACATATATATATATAACTGTTTGACTAAAAAGTTTGGAGACTTCCTCTCCAAAAAGAGATCACCCTGTCCTCCTTATGTCCTTGGTCAACCATTGTCAGCCCGCTTTGGATCCCTGTACTCCTCGTGGTGGTTGTAGAGTTCCTCAATTGTACCTCCTGATTGGAACTCTTGGAACCTTCCCTCCTCGAAGTAGCAGCCGAGGCTCTCAGACTATGTGCTGAGCTTCCTGAAGTGCTCCTGCCGATCGAACGGTACGTACAGACCGTTCTCAAGGCTATCCAAGTCCGACATGCCAAGGTCCGTTTGGCGATCCAAGCTTTTTTGTAACCAATCATTTCAAAGGGCGGCGGTTCGCCAGAAACGGCTCGCGGACGGATCGCGGACGCATGAATCGACGAGGACGTGTCGCAAAACAAAGGAGACGACGTGTCGCCAGGCGTCGCGGGTTGAAGCCACGCATGCTTGCCTGGTGGAAGCCATTAGCTGCTCAGTATCTTAAATCATGAAGGATTGGAATGAGCGTCGGATGTTGATGGATGTTGCATCTTGGATTTACCACTCCTTCCGTTTGCCCCTGAGCCTTCCTTACAGCACCCATTCAGAAGGGGTAGAAGCACCAGCGCATTAAGTCCTGACCCTCTCATGTGAACAGATGGAGTCCGATCGCTTTAGGTCCACTTCAGGATCGAAAACGAAAAGACGAGATCAGCTGTGCCGACCGATAAGCTGTTGTGATCCGACCGAACAAGTGCTGCGATGCCCTTTTTCGATCGACAAAGCATTGCCACACAGATAGAGATTATGATGGAACACATTGCTCCGGAACCATGGCATTTCCAAAGAAGACATGTTCAATCATGTCCATCTCTGTCTATCCCAATCTCACGCCGAAAGCGCGGTGTTTTCCAGTTTTTCACGACATGTCGCAGACTGAGGCTGATGTCGCTGGGTATAGGGCTTGGGGGACTGTGGTGGTGTTCAACACTGACCTACTCCATTGTTCTTCTAGACGGCAGCATTCTAAGAAACAATACATGATATATATTTTTTAAACAAATGTGTCTTTTTGGTTTTAATGTTTTTCTTTTTTCAGCCATGTAACAAATGAAGCGAGCTCCTGGGTTCCGAGGTCCGGGAATCCTTTCTGGGTTTCCATCAGGTTTTCAGTGGTTTGTTTACCAGTTTGACTCATCCTGCCTTTCTGTACGCTCGAAATCATGGAGATAGGACATCCTCCCCGAGACTTTCCTGTCCCAGTTTGTTCCTACATTTAGCTGAATAGGCGACTGGAATGTCTGGAATTCCATGCACTTCCATAGCAGGTTGGAGGCCATCTACTAGGGTGGAGGCCATAACCATAAGGTTTCTTAAAGTCCTTTGTCATTCTTTTTCTATATAAGGTACCAGGACACCCTAAGGGGCTTCCATTGATAGCCCCGAAAAGAGGTGATTCGGGGTGTCCATCAACCACCCCCTGTGGGTCCGCAACACGGGAGGCAATGCCTCAGCCTCGTGCGGTGAGCCACCGGAACCAGCGCGGTGGAACCACGCGGTTCCGGCCACTGCCGGCGGCCTCAGTGATCCAAGTGAGGAGTCTCAAATCCTCAAAGGGCATACAAACAAGCGAGGGATGGCAGTAAGAGGATGCCAGAGGGATGGCCCAGGGATGGCATGAAGTTTCGATCACTCTCTCTCACCGCACGGAGCGCCCGATGAAGGGTCGGGGCGCCACCGATGACTCGCGAAAGGCAAGAGAAGAAAGGTTTGCATCGAGCTCTGTTGAGAGATGTTGAGAGCGCTTTCCTGTTTCATTGGAGACAACCCTGGTTGGACTCCATCTCTACAATTCCTTCCGTTTGATGCCCTGAGATTAGAGGAGGCTCCCACATTTTAGGGAGACACAGAGAGACGCCAGTTTTACATCTATATAGTGGTCCCCAAATAGATAGAAGTTCGGGCCAATCCCCACGTGGTCCTCGAGAGAAACAGGATACGACCGAACGATGGGTCCCTGGACACCGGCCCAGCTTTCGTGTCGTTTTCAGGGTCGTAAGACAGGGTCCGTTCGTTTGGGGTCACCGAAAGAGCAACGGACGAGGGTGCCTTCACATGAAGAATAGGAGATGGTCGCGACGAAGGATCTCTGGTATATGTAATTATATGTATACCAAGCATAGCTCCATATGAAATATATATATATATTCTACAAGTCAATGACCTCATTTTACTGACGTTGGTCATACAAACACACTAATTTGTTAAAAAAGGTAAAGGACCAGGTTTGCCTGGGTCTTTGGAGTTGTAGGGTATATACACATTTGTATATAGGTTCCATTCTTTGGTCCTTGGTATGCAACTCAATGCTCATAAAAGTAAATAACAATATAGTAGTAAAGAAAGAGCAATGGAACATGTATTCAGTATATTGTAACACATGAGAGCAATAGTTGCCGCGTTGGACGAAGCAACTGTTGCCCAGGATCGTCCTTGCGCTGGTG